TCACAAGACTCCACAGATTAGAGGGAACATTGCTCACAGGGTGTCTGTTGTGGGGAGGGGAAGGGAGTTTGTAAGCCGCTCTGAGACACCTTTGGGTAGGGAAAAAAAAGCGGGGTATAAACCTAATCTCTTCTTCTTCTTCTTCTTCTCATTTGGTGGTGGGAAGGGCCGTCAAATCACAGCCGACTTATGGTGCCCCTGTAAGGTTTTCAAGGAAAGAGACGTTCAGAGGTGCTCGGCCATTGCCTGCCTCAGTGTCACGACCCTGGTATTCCTTGGAGGTCTCCCATCTAAATACCAGCCAGGGCCGACCCTGCTTAGCTTCCGAGATCCAATGAGATCGGGCCAGCCTGGGCTATCCAGGTCAGGACAGAATAACACTTGCTGTGCGTTTAATCTACTCTTTGGTCCTCTTTGCTGCGGAGAGGGTAGGGAACACAGGTCAAAGTCGACGGGAAAGAGAGGGGCGTCCCCCCCCCCGCATTGCTGAGGGCTGAAGGCATGGTCCCCACTCTACGCCCCACTTTCTAGCGCCCCCAGCTGGGGCACCCCAGCTCGCTGGTCTGCAGGGCCAAGAAGTCAGTTCGGGCCAGACGATTTTCACACTTTTATTGTAAAGCTTTGGGAGGGTTAATTACAGTGGAAATTCATCATCCGACAGCTCAGCAAACAAACAAGAAGGGAAGAGAACAGAACAGGGCTCACGAGGCGTCATGCTCACGGCTCCAAACAGAAAGGGATTACAAGGGAATCAATTGTGCTCACGGGCCCCTGGGAAGGACCAACCCCACCCCTCCCCACCCCAGCCCAGGGCCCAAAGCCTTCCCTCCCAGTGTCAGGGAAATGCACCATCACATGGAGAGCAATACAACCTTAGCAAGAGAGAGAGGAGAGAGAGGGAGAGAGACGGAGGGGGAGAAAGAGAGAGAGGAGAGGAGAGAGGAGAGGCGGCAGCGCCTAGACGTAGGTCACCATCTGAAAAATAGTGGGGCACTCTTGTATTCTGCCACAGGATTCCTCCTTCTTTTTTTTCCTCTTTTTTCTTTTTAGAAAAAGCTACACCTGCATGTACATAAAACTGTACAAAAAACAAGGCATCACAAGCAAGGAAACTGAAATCTTGTATAAATAGAACCAACACGAAGAGCTACAAAGGGGTCGCTTGGCTCTGTCCCCACACGCAGCTGGCCTGTGCCCGGCCGCCCACCTTTGGTTTTACCCCTGGCTTGTCCTAGTGCAGCGCTCGGGTGCCCTTTCCATGTGCTTCTCTAGGCCAGGACCCTTCGAGCACCCCTGCCCCTCACCCCACCCCCACCCCCCTGTGCATGTAGGATCCCTCCTTCTGGCTTTGAATTGTGCAAAACGAGCTGCTCCGGGTGGTATCGGGGCCTTTGAAGGACGCACCCATCCCATGGCAACGTCAGGGTGGCACCCTGGCCACCCACTGCAGTGGCGCTCTCCCCTCTTCTCCCGTACGTGGAGGCGGCAACATCCTGAAGCACCCCTCTCCTGGGGAAGCACGTCCTGTGGCCCCTTTCCTCCCTCCAGCCCCCTTGCTTCAGCCCCCAGGGAGAGAGGTGGAATCTAGGTGAAAGAGACTGAAGACTTCCTCTCCTTCCTGGGATAGCAGCGGGGAGCCAGTACCTTGTGGCTTAACTTGACCGCTGGCCTTGGCCTCGCCAGCAGAGGAAGAAGAATGGCTCACATGCCTGGGCAACGGCATGTACAGTTGCCATCAGGGCTTTTTTTAGTAGAAAAAGCCCAGCAGGAACTCATTAGCATAATAGGCCACACCCTGACACCACAGCTTATTAGCATATTAGGTCACAGCCCCCTGTTGCCAGAAGTGTGGTCATCCAGCCACACCCACCTTTTGCTTCTTATTCTGTTGACCTTGTTTGTTGTCAAAACCCAGGGCCTTTTTTTGTAGCAGGGACTCCTTTGCATGTTAGGCCACACACCCCTAATGTAGCCAATCCTAATGAGTTCCTGCTCTTGGGTGTGGCCTATTATGCTAATGAGTTCCTGCTGGGTGTGGCCAACTCGGGAGCCAGCCGGAACTCCGTTCCTGTGCGTTCCTGCCCCAAAATAGCCCTGGTTGCCATCCTCCAGGTGGAGTCTGGAGTTCTCCCAGAATTCCAACGGAACTCCAGGCTACAAAGGACCGTGGCCTCAGAAGGCAATGGCAGCTTTGGAGAGTGGTCTCTGTGCCATCGCATGACCCTCCCTTTCCAAAACTATCCAGGGATTTCCCAAGCCAGAGTTGGTGACTCGAACGGCACCTGCCCTGATCTGAGGGGTGTTACGGCCACGGCCCCCCTTGCGGTGCCCACTGTGACGGGACAGGGCCGGGCCGGCCTCTTGCCTGGTGGTCACCCCCCCAACCTGTGGTCAGCTGACGGAGCCCTTCTGCTTGAGAGGGCAGGCCGAATGCCGTGTCACACAAGGGCTCGTCTATGGAGCACAAAAGGTTGTGATCCTACCTGGGGATCAGATCCCCCCCCCCCACCTTGCCTGCAAGCCTGTCCTCCTGTCCTTCCACGGCCGGGAAGTAACCATTGAGAAGCAGCGGGTCAGAGGGTCCCGCCCCTTCCTCGCCTTACAGGGGCACTATTGGACCGTGTATGAGGTGGGGCGGGGCGGTGCTGTGGCGTTTCTCCTTAGAGGCAGGGCCATCGGAAGCCCATGACCATCGGACTACCGGAGAGGTCCAAGGGCCGGCCCCCCATGCGGGTGTGGGAAGAACCCGCCATTGCAAGAGAACGCCCAAGCCTCAGCGGGTGTGGAGGGCAGGCGAGGAAGCCCTTTGCTCTCGTGCACGCTGCAAGGCACCAAGGGGAGCCTACTGGGGTGCTGGCGCAGGAACCCCGGGCCCCGACCTTCTGTGCCGCCGCGGCACCTCTTGGCCGGCTCTCTGCTGCCACCCCAGCAGGCAGTGAGGGGGGGGTACTCCAGCTCCCTGCACAGCAGGGGCTTTGGGCCTCCAAGCACCCGGAGGAGGGTCACGGAGCTTCTAACTGCCGCCTTGGTCTTCTGCCTTCGCTCGGGGATGAGCTGAGCTGTTCCAGGAGATCTCTCTCTCTCGCTCTCCCCCTCCCTCCCTCCCTCCCCCTCCCGTCCTGTCTTGACTACCAGCTTGGACTCCAGACTCCAAACACAGACGGACACAATCGTATTGCAAGAGGCAAGCAAGGAGCATACCTGTCGAGACAACTAACTACACCCCTCCCCTCTTCTCCAGACCCATGCAACAGAGAAAGCTGAACAGAGACATCGTAAGGGAAGTCGAATGGCCGGAGGGCTTCTTGCAAAATGGCTGGGAAGAACACATCCATGACCCATGGCAACACGGAAGAAGGGGAGCAGGCCCGATGGGCGTCGGAAGAACCAGAGCCAGGGTATGTAGGCACCCGAAGAAACGGGGCATCGGTGGGCCAGGCGGGTAGAGAGCAGAGCCCCCGGGGCTGAAGAAGGTACCAATGGACACTGTGTGTGTGGGTGGGGGGAGAACTTTGCACTCCCCAGCGCCACGGGGATTAGAACGAGGCCCCAGAGGCACCCACTGGCAGGGAGGGCAGGCGTCAGGGGAGGGGCCACCACGACCACAGGCTGCCTGGCATCCGGGCAGCTAAGAGCGATGCCAGATCCAGCTCACTCGACCGGCCGAAGGGGTAAAGAGCCCTCCCTTGCCTGGCCGGAGCCTCCCTGGGGGCCGATCGTGCCAAGTGTCACTCGGTTGTTCTCAGGGGCCCTGCCGGAACTGCGAGACCCAAAGGCAGCTCCTGCAGTTTGGTACTCTGTGGCTAGACCTCCGGCACTGGAAGAGAGTTACTGGAGCCCTTGAGGCCGGCCCTGGGGTCGGAAGGCGGAGGGAGTGGGGGTGTGACTCCAGCATCCAGGGGCCCGGGGGGCCCCCAGTGCAACCCTGAGTCAAAGCTCCATTTCACAAAGGCAATGGCGGCTTACAGGCAGACAAATCAAAGGCCAGAATCATGGCACGGGGGCCCAGAAGACCCCGCCCCCACCCCGGGAATCCCCCTGCCCCGGGTGAGCCGTGAGGGCTGTTGGGGAGCAGGGGGCTGTACCTCCTGGAGAGCGGCAGTCTCTTCCCTCCCTCCCTCCTTCCCTCCCACTGACCCAGTTCCAGTGTCCACGGGGCAGAGACTCAGGAGGGCCGGCCGAAGCCGCGGCTGCCTGCTCTGGGGCTCCTCCACGCCTGATGAAGAAGAGTTGCTGAAGTCCAGAAGAGAGATTTGGGTTTCAGAGTTCTCTAATGCCCCTAACGCCACCCCCCCCCAAGTCCCGACGACAGGTCAAGGCTCTCTTCCCCCCCCCCCAAGCCGGTGCCCCGTCTCTACTCTATTTACACTGCGAAAGGCGAGGGGGGTGGAGGGGGGGCTGGCTGGAAGCACGGGCTCCCGTGTGCTCTTCTGTGTGGCCGACCGTTCAAACTGGAATTGCTCCCTGTGGGTTTTTGTTTGTTTGTTTGTTTGTTTCAGTGTCTTTTGTTTGTTTTCAAGGACGGTTAAAAGTTTTCATCAGGCAGGACGCAAACGTCATTCCTAAGGTTCATATTTACAGGAGTCTACAGTAACGACAGAGGCAGCTTCCCCCTCCCCCTGTGCCAGGTGCCCCCAGCCCTGCGCCCGACGGACTCCACCCAGTCTGCACGGACCTTTGGTAACTAAGCCCTTCCCCCCACCCCCTGTCCTGAAGCCACGGGCCGAGCCCTCCGCACTCGGGCCCCCGCTCTCCCCGCCTCCAGCGCCTGGTCATTCGGGATGGTCTCAGGCCTCTTGTCCCGGGACGTGACGTGTTGCCAAGGGTGTCCCTCTGCCCGGCGACTGGGCAAGGCATTCCCACCCTGCAGGCTCAGAACTGCCCACACAAACGGTAAAGCATCACAGTTTGAAAAGTTCCTTCCTTCCTTCCTTCCTCCCTTCTTCTTCCAGACACTGGCCTCAGCAGTGTGTTTTGCAGGCACCTTTCTCGTCCCCGTGTCCCCCCCCTCCCCCCAGTCTCACAGGTAGATCTCCCGCTTGGCGGTTTGGGAGGATGGTGTGGTGGCTGCCTGGAAGTCTGAGGTCTGGGTGAGAGGGATTTCCTCCAGGGGGGAGTCCTTGCAGGGCTCATGGCTACTGTTGGAGAAGGCACTGTACGTGGGGAGCAGGC